CGAGCACACACACACGTATTAGACTACAACAAAACAACAGTGTCAGTATAATGTGTGTGTGTGTGTCCTCCCTCGGGTGCGGTGTACACACGTTTGTATTATTATTATTATACACATAATAATATACGCAGTGATTAATAATATTTCGGACGACAACAATGACGGTGGGCAGATATCTTTTGGCCCGTAAAATCGGTGCCAGCAATCCACGACCCGTCGCCGCGTTATATAGGAACATTATTTTTTATATATATTCCTATAATGTCCTTCTGCGCCTTTATTACGGCACTGCGGGTCCAAAGGGGACAAACCCCGTTCGGGTTTATTAGCGTGCTAAAAAGACACCCGGGAAAAATCAACGTTGTCGACGGCGGCCAGATTAATGTCATCGGCAGACCATATATTGTGTTGACGACGATGATGAGTAGCCGTGGTGAAAATATATTTATCAATTTATTTGACCAAGTCTAAACAGAGAAACGGGTTTGGTATTGCCAGCCTTTTTAGGTTTACAGACTAGGCCAAACGGGGGTAAACAATGTGTGAGTTGCGACCAACTAGATATAATTGTGGTCAATACAATACAATGTGTAAAATATATAGTTGAACTAACAAAATACGTACTGTTTATTTTTATTTAGTTCAGCCAACTATGTAGTTTTGCAAATTCCTTCACTCTTATAATACTATTATATTGTGCTTTATATTATAATATCATCGTGTGAGTATGGCGTTATGCGCGTGAATAACTTTGAAACCGACTAATGGGTTATAAAAATAAATTTGGAATTTATTTTTTTAATTAATTTATTTTTTGGAGAGATTTGTGGCTGATGTTCGTTTGTGGTATGCGCTTGCTGCGTACAAGTCACGGCTTGTAAAAGTATTAAACATACATAGAATTTAAGGTTAAAAACTCGTTTTTTTATTTTATCTCTCGTTGTAAAAATATACAAAAACCGTATATTATCAAAAAAACGAAAGTGACTTTTTTTCATTATTTATAAAGATTTCGACAACTGGGCCTATTAGCCCGTGTATAAATTAAATAATCTCAATCCGTAAAAAGCAACAAATATGTAGATTATAGATAATATATACACTAGGTAGATTAATTATAGGATTTTTAGGTTATTTTTAGATACATTTTACATAATTCAAATACGGTCGTACGCCTTATTGATTTGTAGTATTTTACCAAGTCGTCCTCGTTTCCTTTCTCGAGTGCTTTTTCCCAAATGTTTATTTCCGACAATCTTGAATTATTAGGCGTTGCACCGTTTTTTGAGTTTCAGGTAAGAGGTGTGTTTTTCGTATGCACTGTGTGCGCAACATTGGTAGCGTTGTATTAGTTTTCGAAAAAAACTAGGTAATATCTACTGTGTTAACGCTACAATGAAGTATAATATTGTACACTTAATTTTGGTTTTTGCGTTTTGTGCTTTTCTGTTTCAGTAGATAATATAATAAACTAGATTGTGGCCTGTGCACACAGCAATCTAGTTTATACCTCTTGTATATATATATATATAAATATATATATGGGGGTATAACCACAGTCACAAATATATATATATATATATATATTTGTGACTGAGGTTTTGCTGTAAAATCGGTTTAATCGCACTCGCTCTTTTGTTCGCTTTATTTGCATATCTCACCTTTTCTATAAACACCTGACAGCAGCCCCGCGTGGAGTCGTGCGAACCGCCCAAATTGCCGGTCTTTCATCAATGTTTACACGGGGACTTGGGCTTGTAAATCGTGTTATGTCTTGTTAGCGGTCACGGCCCCGCCTCGACGACTTGTACCCCGGGGTGGTGGTGGTGGTGGTGGTGGTGGTGGTGTTGACTGTTCCGACAAACAATCGGCTTGAACAAATTGCGTTAAACACAGCCGGCGGTGTAAAATAAATTACCGCTGACCGACCGTCCAACAACAAGTGCCCTTTGGTCAGTAGTAGTGTCCTTTTGTGTGTCCGACACATGTGCGGTCATTATGTGCGTTATAGCACTTTGTGGACATTTCCGCAGTTTCCACACACACACAGCCCCAAAACCTAATCAATTTAATTCGAGTTTGTCCGAAATTTATCACCCAAGAAACGACCCCGGCAACCGCCGAAAGCCAAATAATCGACAACGTATTGTCTGCAACAATAAAAACCACCGAAAAACAGCTTGCCCGTTCGGACCAACACAATATAGCAATATATACATATATATATAACACAGGAAGTGCTGCACTCAAAGTGTATTCAGGGGGGACCTTTGAAAACACATATATTGTGACCGTTTCGAATTCGTTCAAATTATGTAATATTAATATATATATATTTCATTATTCGATTTTAGCGCGGTAAAATATAAGCTATTTAAATGACATACTAGACATGATATTCAAGACAAAATCTACACCACAATAACAGATATACAGATATCTGGTATAGGCGTTTCCTACGTGGAACAAAAAAAAAAACAAATAATACTACAATTAATAATGTATTATTTTAAGTGTTACTAATTTTTACAGTCCGGTAATGTGTTATATAGTTTCAGTGCCTTTTCATAGCAATTGTTCCCAGTAGAAGGCGTGGGGTTGAGACACTTAATAATTACACACTGTTCGGCAAGACTGTTTCTTATACAATAAGAGACCTTGCGCCGTTTGTCAACAAAAACACACGTGCTGTTTATTGATGGCATTTGAGTATAATAATACATGGCCTTTGCTTTGGACGCGTTTTAAATATTTGTACAACTCTTGCAAGGGCTCGAACAATTGCAACGCGCAATCAAAGTGGCGGTTTGTTGTCAGTTTTGTTTTTTAGATAGTGACTCATTTGAGTAGGCGCGTTTATTTATTTTTTTTAATAATAAAATACAATATAAACCTATCCTTTCGACCATAATCGAGTCTTATTTAGAATCTCCCCCCCCCTTTTGGGTGTATACTCGCCGGAATAACACACAATAAACCCGAACAGGCCGACCGTATGGGGTGTCGGACCAATGTATATATATATACCTATGTATTATATTATATTGTTTTCAAAATCTTTTGTGTCGGCTAAACAAACACCGCGAACGTATTTAGCGGATACATGTATACATATATATATATCGTTTTTTCTCTTGTCCAAATCGTTTCGTAGCGTCACCGGACCCTTTTGATCCTTTGTCCCTTACAAAAAAAAAAAATGCAATAGTAAAAATTAGGGTTCAGCAGCGCCGTTGGGAGAACACGAAAAAGGGGAACTGGCAGATAGTATATATCCGTTTTAAATAAACTTTTCTCGTGCTTAATGACACATGGAGGTGTAAACAATTGTTCGGTCCATTACGTGCCGCTAAACGGCAAAGCAGTTAAAACACACCCTCGAGCACAAAGAAAGAAGAATTAAAAAAAAAAAAAATAGTCGATGACACGAGCAAATGAGACGTGTATAGCTGTTTTTTTTTTATTCGAGGGACATGATGAGTTTTGATTTGATTCTTATCTATTGTATTTCGTGCAACAACAAAACAAAGTCTTACAGCGAAGAATATAGTAGTTAAAACAACACCTAAATACAACACAATATGCTATAACGTTAAAAGAATGAATTGAAAAAGGTGTAATAATATAGAAATCTAACTGAGAAAAATAATATTTTTCACCCACTCAATTCAATAGTTTATGTTGCTTGTCGTTTATAGAGCAATTGCGGTTAGTAGATTGTCACGCATTTATAAAATTTATAAAATTCACACTGAAAAATGTCAACTTGACCCTCGCCCATACAACAATTAGATAAATCATAACATGAAAACTTGTAGTGCAGGTCAGGTTTGTTGATAAGCTAACGAAAATATGGTAATATGGTCTTACAGTCACGATATGACTTAACGTATAATTTTTTTTTTTTTTTTAGATTATTTAATTATACATAACTGTTTGGAAATGCAAATTGGAAAATCTTATATTAAATGTAAATATGAGTCACGATCATTTATAATAATTTCATTTAATTTGTTGTTTTAATAAAATAAACGAAATATAACTTGTTTAAGCATTAATCACATAAATAATTAAAATAGCTCAGATTAAAATTTAAAGACAATAATCTTAACTCGACCGTATTTATGGAAATTTCAAATGTTAATTTTTATTATTAATTATTAATTGTCACATAGCAAAAAATATAGCGGCCGAATTATCTGTTAAGTATAAAATATATTGCAATACTGAAGAAGTAAATTAAAATATGCATGGTGAATAAAAATTAAATATTGAAATAACTCGGTAACCAAAATACCATGAAACAGTGACCAAAATGAGAACGGATACAGCATTAATGCTTTTATAGAACATTTTCTTTGCTATTTCTATTTAGTTTTTATTTCCATCTTAATTCACAATACACGTATATTATTTTTACTATTTATTAATGTGCACCTCAATCCTGAAATAATTATTTATTTATCTATTTTTAAAACCCATTAGGTGTTATTTATTTTAAATATTATTAAAAAATTAATAATATTATAAATGTGTATACAAAGCTTTTAGACATTTTTGGCTTGTAAACGGTCAATCGTTTGGCTTAAAAAAACCAAAGAAGCTTTATTATAGGTACATTAGCGTTGCATACACAGTGAACGATAAGTTAAATGACATAATACTGCCGAAATATAAAGTCACTAATAAACTTGCAACAAGTAAAATTCAAAACCGAGAACATTTCATTGGGTTTACGGAGAAACCGTTACAATAACTGGTATACCAGTCATTGAACTTATCTAGTCATTATGCAGCTTAAAACCGTCAGAATTAGTATTCTTATAATAATTAAACACAACAATGTAATTAGTAACATATAAATTCATATAAACTAAATAATTTTTTGTTTTTGTATATGTATAATATGGAATTATATTGTTATGTTCACTATTGTCAAAATACATAGTGAACTATGTAAGAAAAAAAAATATTACATAAATTACATTTTATCAATGTTTTCAATTGGCATCGTCGTCATTATCATCATCGTCTTCGTCGTCGTCGTCATCGTTATTGTCTTCAGCGTCATCGTTTTTCTTATCAGACAATAAACCGAGCTTTGGCGGTCTTACCATTGTGGTCATGAATTCCGTGTAGTCTACGAAGTCGTCTCTGACGAGTTCGTCGATCATCTGATCGATTTCCTCGGCGTTGAGCGTTTTACCGAATTCCGCGACCACTTGCCGGACGTGTTCGGAGCTGACCTTGCCGTTGCCGGCCGTGTCGCCGCCGGCCAGCCGTTCCTTGAGCTTGTAGAACTGGGCTCGGTTTTCCGACCACATTTTCGCCACGGCCGCCGTGAACCGGTCGCACGTCACGTATCCACGGCCGTCTGGGTCGTGTTCGTCCACTATGGCCACCACGTCGTCGTCCGTGGCGTCTATGCCCAACGCGCGCAGTGCGATCTCCAGCTCGCGCACGTTCAGCTTGTCCTCGCCGTCCCGGTCGAAGATGGCGAACGCCTCGCGGATCTCCTCTTTGAGCTCGGCCGACACCTCAGCCGCAACCGGGTGGTCGCTTTTCACCGCGCTGGACATACTATATTATGTCGACTATGGCCGTTTTATTGTACGAGTACAACAAAACCGAGATCTGATCATACACACTCCACACGTTGTATATACACAATACAACAAGGTGTTACGATGGTTACACCGCGCAGACGGTTGTTTTGTAAGGTTTTTTTTAATTCAATCATCTTAAAACTGAGTATTTTTGGGACTATAAATTGGTCTGAAAGTATTTGTTTATTCGAATAGGATTTACATGGATTATTATTATTTTTTTTAATTCAGGTTAAAATTTAAATAATACAACTTCTGTTATAGAACGTTCTAGAGGTTTATAATGTTTGCTAAAAACAATAATTATTGTTATTATTTAACTTGGATAAAAAAATAGGCTATTACAAAAACTGGATAATCCTTATAATTTGTCAAATCCGGGTGAGTGATTAAATTCGATTATTTCCATCACTCATTGACACACTGTACATTAATCAATCGAATTTGAAAAATACATATTACCTAACGTTGTTGTTTAAAATGTAAGTCCCAAAAAACCTGAACCAAGTAACCGAGTTTTAGGGTACTAAATTAAAAGCTAATGTGCGTGGATTATGAGCACATGAGTTAGTATAGTATAATACAACAAAGTAAGTAATATTATATTACTAGTAGATACTACAATGTATATAATATACTTTTTTTATAACAAGTATAAGACGTCTCCACTTTAGATACGACTAGCGATTGCCTTAAAATAGCCCGCGTTTATGCTGTCCATTTATTACATAACCATCTTGGCAATACAAGTTTCTTCTTGCTCAAGAGGTAAAACGCAGTATACATGTACATCAATTCCCATCAAAATATTGATTCTGAGCCCAAGTGTTTGATTCAAAATTATTTATTTATAAAAGTGATAGACAGCAAGTCTTTGTATTTATGTCGTTTTGGCCGTTAACTAAGTAATTTTCAGTGTTCGAAGGGGTTCAAACTTATTTTCTTTACTTGTCTTTTTCTAGCTAAGTTTTAGCGCTTAAAGTCTGAAAATCAGATTCAAGGTAGATATAGCTAGAGTGAGGCTATACCATAAAAGATATGATAAATATAAATTATAAGTATGAAATAATATATAATCTTCAGGCATAGACAACACGTCTGCCAACGTGTAGGATCTCCGCGTTTGGCGGCGGAAAGGGAGGTTTTTATTTATAGTTTCTGTATGGGGTTGGGGGTGGAAGTGGAGGGCCGACGTTAGAGCGGCTACACGAGGGGGTGCCGGGGCTTTCAACGGAGCAGCGTGGGCGTTAACCGGGAGAGACTAGGCGTCCCCGGGTTTTTCACCATCTGCCACGGTTGTCGCTGCGCCGTCTCATTGTAACCGAAAAACCGCACATAAGGTCTCCGCCGCCGATTGTTCTCCCCACGGTGGTAATTTTGATAACGTTTATTATTATTATTATTATACTTCCTATACTGTATTTATTACAGCTAGCATGGCTGTCGCCTCTGTAACTGTTATTATTTGTCCCAATTGACTTTATGGAGACCCAAATGACATGATTAGCGCACCGACGAGGGGATTCGCCCTACGTCGCCCTCTATTTATACCGTAGCTGGCCTAGAGCCGCCGGTGTACTTAGTCATTGTTGCTCGCTAATCATTCTAGCTGCAGTTGTCCAACTGAACGATTCTCAACCAGAGTGTGACGTGGGAGTAGTGTTTCGTTGAGATGCAGAGAGAGAGGCTGAAGTCAGTCTTGCCGGTTAGAAGAAAACAGGAATACTGTTCAATATGTCGCGTTGATAAAATTTTGTCTAGCTTTTTGGTCTAAAATAAGCCAAAATGACTTTAACTCGTATAAAAAATGATTTAAATAAAAAAATATATCTTGAAGCTTATACAAATTAATTGACATGGTCGAAATGTATTAAAATCACATTTTCTTAAATTATTGCCAACAAAAAACTCCTAAAAAACAGACCGCATGCAATCCTCTTGTTTTTAATAAAAACTGTTATACTTACATAAAGCACCAACCGCTGAAAGATTGAAGACTTTCTTTTTTTCTTTTCTGTGGTCATGCTGGTATAAGTCATTCTGTTTGCTTCTCTGTCGTACCTATACAAGCTAGTGTAATACCATGTCAATGTTGGCTGTATTCCCAACTAAATTGTCTGAATTTCTCGCCATCGACTTGGTCGGTATACAACAATAAATGATTGCTGGAACGTCTATTACTATTTTCAAAGTAATCGCAATACTTTTACTCGGATTTATCAAATTATAAGTACGAGGTGCTCGATCACAGCCGCCAGCCACACATGTTAACGGCCAACCGAGCAACAAAGCGCTTATAATGTAAAGTTTCCAAGTACACTCCACTTGACTAGAACCATAATGCTCGTTTGATCATTAAAATCAGTTATATTATTATTTACACAACGGTATTATGAATTAGGAATGTAATCAAGAAAGCCATATAACCGCGCACTATAATATTTTTTAATGGGCCTACTATTAATCCGGGGCCCTTCGTCGTTCTGATTAAAATTTTTACTCGTTACCGTATATAATACTATTAATAGTAATAATATAATATGTCTTATAGTTGCCAATGACAGTTTGCAATTTTTTCTGGGGGTAGTGAAATCCGCACAAAACCGTAATCCTCCCAGATGTGACGTTGTTTCGTCGACCCTCCTCTTTTCCCCCCCCGTTAATCCAATAGCAGCAAGCATAATGATATAATTTTTTTTTTGCGGACTTCAATCCAGAAAGATTTGCGATCACACTTACTGACACTGAGCTTTCCAGCTGTTCTAGTCCCTGATGTATGTATATATTGAGATTGATTTGAAAGTACTCTTAAAAATGTTTGCAGAAATATTGTTCAAAAATAGTATAATATGTGTCAACATTGCATTACACCTTTAGTCAAACATATTATGACCGCGCTTTGTGTTGAATATAATAATATGTAGATATTGTTACGGCGTCAACTGGCTTAGAAAACAAAAACCGTTTGCGGTAAACAGTGTTATGGTCGTTTTGAATGCGCAAACAGATTCGATATCGGTTTGCATTTGAATATTTCCAATAAAATATCCATTTACGCACACCCGGCCGCGTTTTGAGTGACACTCGAGAAGCTTTTAGTGGAAATTGCTGTGATTTCTTTTTTATACGCGGTCTATAAAAAGGAAAACCACTTATTGTTTGGCCGTTTTCTTTGACACTTCAAAGTCCACACACAATCGTTCAATCGGAAAGAAAATCCGCCGAACCTTTTACAATATTGTTTATTCACACGGCAAAGGTGTCTAGTACAAAGTGGATACTAATAGACTACGATTAAAAAATAAGTTAACAAACATAGTTGGAACTTTCTTGTTCCACTATAGCTGTTATTCGAGTACTCAAAAAACCTTATTGGGTGGATTGTTGTATGTCGCTGTTAAAGGGGCTTTAAAAATATATCAAAAACAACACATTGCAAAAAATATCTATTAGATGTTTAAAGGTAAACGAGTTGAGAGGAGAAAACAAAAACATTAGGTACACCTTGAAGAGTTATCAATATCTTTATACTTTTCCACTATACAAATAAAATATAAAAAGTAAATTATTTGATTTTTCTTAATGTGTCTTAGTTTATAAAAACCCATATTCACCAAAACAGAGAGTTTTTGTTTTAAGATCACAAAATATACAAATTCACTATGACCTTGTCGAGTCGTCATAAAGCCAGCGGTATATTTTATATAAGCGGAGACCGGCTTTGTTTTTTTTTTTTTGTCCAACCCCAAAAAAAAACGTTTTTCGCCAAGTACAGTGCATTATATACCAAAGTCATTTCTAGTGGAAGAAAAACCAAGAGGGGTTGTCGGTAACCCGGTAGCGACGGTTAAAAAATCCTTTGACAAATAAAAAGGAAAAAAAAGAAACAGTTACCGAACACTTCTTATACTTGAGAAAGAGATCGGTTACCAATAAAATGCAAATTGCGGATACATAATATACATAAATTGCGCTTTACATAAACACTATTTAAATATTTTCTCTGGGAGGAAACTACATTTCTCTTTTTTTTCTCGTTTTCCCTCCACTTTTGTGCGCTCACCGTGTCGGATATCGAAAAAAAAGACTCTCATCTTATTTCAACCCGACCATAAGTATCGTGGTGATACTTTATATTTGTACACGACCGTCTGTTCTCTTTGAGCGAGTGAATCGTTAAAGGAATACGGTTTTTTACTTTTATTATTAACATTTTTTCCCTTTTTTTTTAGAAGCCGCCAATGAATTCCGATACCTACCTACTTTGCCAACTCGTGTCGTGGATTATCATTGTAAATTGAAAGTTCCCGTCGAGATACATGTATATAACCGCACACGCGGTATGAAAGTATATTTTTTTAATACTTGTTGAATATTCTGTCGCGGTGGCGGTTTTTTTTTTTTTTTTGATAATCCCTTATGTACGGCCTATCTATATAATATTTTCCGCGGTGAATAATATCATCGCAGCCACCACTCTCATCTCACCTCTGCTCTGGAAAACATTCGTTTCGGTTTTCCGAGCTATACATATTTTGTGTTCTTAACAATGTGGATTAGAATTTATTTTTTACATAACATATTGTACAATGTTCAAAGCAACAATGTGGTATTACTATTTGTACACAAAAAAAAAAATAATAATCAAAGTATTTAGGTATGGGTAAGTTTTTTTTGCAAAATCTTAATCAAAAGGTTAAACTATGAAGAGTAAACCCGAATTTGCTAACCAACTTCTTCTATACACTGATTTACACTGTACTTGTCAAGTACTGCTACTGGGTTTGGACTGTACCCGCTTGCATCGAGTCGATAAAGTGTTGGAATGTGTAAATACATATATTATTCGAGTGGTGGCAAAAACACACGTTCAACGTTAAGGGTCATTTAAGACTTATAGATACTTGGAGCTTCCAGGCGATGAAACACCATGCGAATGCTAGTCAATGTTATAAAATATATGTACAATACTG